AAGATAAAAAGGCAGTAACTGCATGAAGAAAGTGAGGACTAATATTCACTCTAATAATCCTACTCTTGGTAAAATTCACCTTCAGCCGCGAAACTATTTCGAATCCCTTGAGCACAACTTTTATACTCCAAAGATTATACCAACGTCTCGATGCTGAAATTTGAGAAGCTTAAATGAGAAGAAGAGGAAGCGTCTTGAACGGTAGAAGTGAAAAGTGAGAAATGAAGCGGACTCGGTCCTATTTATAAGCCTAGCACGAGACTCGAGGCGGCCCTAGGCACTAAAACGCCCATACCCATAGCCGCCCTAGCTAAGCAATGATTGCCTGACACATGGCAACACCAGAAGTTTCGCATCCATTCATCTCCATTTCGGGCTCGAAGAGCGGACACATCCTTCGCGCTTTCCACCTCCCCGACATGCTGTTCCGTCGAGCATCCTTTGCTCCCGACCTGGTACACGACTCCCAACTCTATGCATCAGGCAAATACCTTCCCCCGAAGAGGTCCTCGATATTTTCAACCGGCTCTTAAGTCATTACTCCTCCACCTAGGAGAAACGACTTAGGGGGCTCCTGTTCTGGACTGGGCCGGGACCTACCCCTCAGTCGGGCAGACCCAATCCAATGTTATGCTGAGGAGACCCAACAAGGCCCAATCATCTCTGTCAAGCACAAACCCCAACAAATAGCACACTAGTCGGCCAGAGCTCACGCGTTTTCCCCACGGACTCCACGTGCCCTCCACGCGGGGACACGTCATCAAACAACTATCCACTTCTGAAAGAGTTGGTTAGCCCACCTTCCGAAGATCACAGGGCAGTTGATTCAGGGCGAAGACCACGTTTTGGTCTTCACTACGCCACGTAAGCCCTGATAGTTACTTGTGTTGGACTTGACAATATGACCCACTACAATGTAACCGTTGGCTCTGCGCTGAAGGCATATTATAAATATTCTCTTTCATTAGAGGGTCAGGTATTCCATTCATTACACCTTCTTTCCGTACTTGCTCTCTCTCTCATTTCGTTATTCACTTAAGCATCAGAGCATCTTGCAGGTACACCCCCTTTTTCTCTTCCACAACTCTGACGAAGATAGCAACTCACGACGCCTGACAAATTATTGATTCTTTTCTGACTAAATATCATAAAGAAATAAATGTTTTCATATATGATTTTAAATTTAGGGTAAATGTTGGTAAGGAAATAAATCATCGCATATGCAATTTATAGTAAGGTGTGATCTCTTACCATCCAAACTCAAACCATTTAATTTTTCACACAAGTTATACGACGTCGTATTCAGTCGTGAAAAGGCAATCCCGTGCGTCTTGAAATTTGGAAAGAGAAAATCGAGAGTTTCGACTTCACCTGCAATTCACTGCACTCTACTGTCGTTATTTATTCACTCTTTCCATTTATACCCCCAATCCTCACCGTCATGTAGATCAGAATCGCTACAATCCATTTTTTCTCGCTTCGTTGCTTTCTTTTTTCAGGTAACTATCTCTCTACATCTTCAATTTTATTTGATGTTGTATTTTTGTAAAGGTTTGGAATTTCAGTAACAAAAGTGTGTAAATTATAGCTTGAAATATAGATCTGTTGAGATAAACAGCTTAATTAAGTGCTTATATATAAGTGCTTATTTATAAGTTATTTGTATGACAAAATATCAAGAAAAGTCAAACTGTTTTTATATAAGCTATAAGCTGTTTTCATTAGGTATTGCGTGGAGAGCTTTTGAAAATAAGGTGAGAACAGTGTATAGACATGTTCCTTTTTTGAGATAAGTTTTGGATTCCTTCTGAAATATCTTCAATTTTGTGGATGATTTAGATCTATATGATGTGAAACTGATTAAATTCAGGAATGAAAAGTATCTGTTGAAAATTGTTCTTTACATTTTAGTTTCGTGAAATTCCGTAGTGAGGTCGAACAATTTTTTTGAGGCTAATTTTAACCATGCGCAGAAATTTGATAGCATTTTGTTTTTGAGGGTAATTTGTCTAGTTTTAAGAATATGCTTACGTATATTGTTTGGAATGTCTATTATTTATGGTGCTGTTATGATGAGAGTAAGACAATTGATTTTAAATATTATGATCTCTTGCGTTCAACTCAGTTAGCTTTAGGTAGCTAGGATTGAGCTCTGGAAATTTACTCTGCTGTTACTGGCTGTATTACATTGAGGATATCGATTTTCTATAGACGATTCTTAGATATATTTTGAATATAAAGTAGTCAATCCCGGATAGCGGCGGGGCGGCCGATCTTAGAAATGGGATAGTGGGATAGCGTACAGCGGGATGACCACTATTTAATCATTTTTAGATATATTACATGAATAATAATTATAAACATATGAAGTGAGGGAGGTGAGGAAGGAATTTGCGATTTTACTCTGCCGTTACTGGCTGTATTACATTGAGGATATCGATTTTCTATGCTGATGCCATAGACGATTCTTAGATATATTTTGAATATAAAGTAGTCAATCCCAGATAGCGGCGGGGCGGTCGATCTTAGAAATGGGATAGTGGGATAGTGTACAGCGGGATGACCACTATTTAATCATTTTTAGATATATTACATGAATAATAATTATAAACATATGAAGTGAGAGAGGTGAGGAAGGAATTTGCGATTTTACTCTGCCGTTACTGGCTGTATTACATTGAGGATATCGATTTTCTATGCTGACGCCATAGACGATTCTTAGATATATTTTGAATATAAAGTAGTCAATCCCGGATAGCGGCGGGGCGGCCGATCTTAGAAATGGGCTAGTGGGATAGCGTACAACGGGATGACCACTATTTAATCATTTTTAGATATATTACATGAATAATAATTATAAACATATGAAGTGAGAGAGGTGAGGAAGGAACTTGTGATTTTTCTTTGGAATGGCTGAAATGCAGAAACCTCAGTGAAGGAAGGTTAGGGTTGAGTCTCAACTCAAATCTGATTGAAAAATCCAAAACTACACTTAATACTTCTAAATTTAAGTGGTGATTTCGGTTTTTTAGAGGAAGAAAAGAGTAGCGGGACAAAACCCGCACTGGGCCGGGAAATGTTCTGCCTCCGCTACCTCCTATTTACCCTATAGCGGCCGCTATAATGTTCTGCACTGCTAAGGCTCTTTCCGTAGCGTCCGGCCTCCGCTCCGCTATAGCGGGATAGCGCCGCTATTGGCCACTATTGGCTACTCTGATATTAATATCGAATATTAGCTCTCTTTTTACCTTGGCCTACATTATCATACACACTGCCTTAGAAACTTTTGGATATGCCTCCCTCGACTGTTAAATCTCGAACTATTACAACAATACATGCGTCTCAATCAATGGCCTAAAACACATGCATTTTTCTTTTAACAAGTAGTCAAATAGAATTTGCAAATGAACCTCAGCATCAAGCTATAAGCCGTCTCTTGAATTTAATTGCATTCATACAATAAGAAGATTCTTTGCTTTTTATAAACAGTAGTTAGTAGGCCAGATGAGGTTCTTTTCCCTACTCTATCATTCAGGATGAGGCTAGTCAATACAATTTTGAATTTAGATGTTTCCTATCAATAGCGAAACAGTAATCATATGTCAAAAGGTTATTGGTGTTACAAAAAATAGAACTCATTCAGTTTTATTTCTGCATCATGAGTAGTATCCTTCACTGCTGAATGGGTTTTTGTTGCATTTGTTAGAACAAAAAACCTTATAAAGCAAAGCATTTAGCCACATGTGAGTTGGCTGTAAATAACTGCCGGCTTTGTGGTAGCTTCATGACATGGTTGTGATTGTCGCTAAAGGTTATCACAGGGTATGAGCTCATAAGACTAAGGGAGTAGGAGAGAAGTCTTTCCTCTTCGTCAAAGTTTTCAGCTGTCAAAGGTCTAAGCTCTATTCATTTGGGTATATAAGGGGGAAATAAAATTATACTAATTATATTAATGTAATTGATATCTTGGATGTTATTCCAGAAGATAGAATGGTAATATTTATTTATTATAATACTAGCAGTGTATGCAGGATTGCGAGTTGACTCGCAAACTCGCCTGAGTTGACGTTCCAATCACATGCTGTCATACACAATCAAAATAACTCTTTAAACTAAAACATATCGAATCTTGCAAAACATTCCAGCTTTCGTGATTGCAGCCTAAACTCAACCGTTACCAAATTATTTCAGCATAAATTCTCTCCTTCCATTATTGTTCTTCTTCCTTGTTAAATAGAATTACTTCCTCTTCCTCTTTCACATTCCAGCTTTCTCTACTGATAGTAGAATCTTATGATCCGTGCTACGTTCCTCGAGTTACGATTTTTGAATCCTCTATTCATTCTGTGTAAACTCTTGAGTTTTTAAACATTGAGCACTAGACTCTTAATTCTAATTAAATAAGGAAACACATAATAAAAATAAGGAAATATGAAAGCTAAATCCAAGAAATAATGTAACATATTTTATGATAGAATAATGATATGGTGAAATACCTTTCAGAGATTTTAATAATGACTAAGCTATCAACATCTAGTTGACTAGGACGTTCTCATTCTAGTTAGAGATATCTCATGGAGTGATATGTTAGTACTGTTCTTATTATGTTTTAATGCTAGTAACTAAGTTATTCAATAGTTTTCTGGCTGTTATAGTAAACTTTGGAAATCGGCTTCTACTACTCAGTTATTTAACACTCTTGAAGTATGCCATTTTCTGCCGTTTTCTTTGTTTCTGTTTTGGTTTCAATTTATTCCTTCCTCTTATTATATGGTTATAATAAAATCCATGCCTTTACTTTTTCTGGAATGATTGTAGTAAATTTTTATGAAATTGTTGATTTAATTCTTTATTTATTTTAAAACTCTTTCTTTGATGTTTAGTTTTAGTTTGACATGATCTTTTTTTAGGAGCCTTACATTATACGCAAATAAGAAATTATGCATCTTATATTTGTTGGCCAAAAATTGAGTTTAATATACATCGTGATAGGAATCTAGATGGATACAACTAACGAAATAAAGGGCGATTATGCTCCCCTCAGAGATCCAGAGCACCCACAATTGGGAAGATTTGACAAGCCACTTCCATGTTTTGGCTGTGGTATTGGATGGTTCTCGTAAGTTATTTCGTAAAGATTCATCTTTCTCAATTCTGTAGCCTTCATAGTTTGATGTTTGAATCTTCTCCTCCTCCCTCTCTTTTCTTTGGCAGTTTTCTGCTAGGATTTGTATTCCCATTGATGTGGTATTATGCTACAATTCTCTACTTTGGAAATTACTATCATAAGGATCCAAGGGAGCGTGCTGGACTCGCTGCTTCTGCAATTGCTGTAAGTGTTGTACTTGGAGAGCAAGTTTACATTAGTATTCCCACTTTTACAATAACTGGTCTATTAGTATTTTCTTTTATATTTCTCTTGAGAAAATAAAAATATAGCATGATTACATTTATTCTCTCTAGTTTAGACCACGTGTGATTTTGGGTCTCAAGTTGTTTCTTTTTTAATCTATCGAGTCCATCTACTCTAAAAATCAAGCAAATATATTTTGGTAAACCTCGTAAATTCTTGTTTTTTAATCACAAATTTTGGTGGTTTATGATAGATTTGAGATAGAAAATATTTCAAGTTTAGAAGTTGGAAGTTAAGGGAGACTTCATATAAATTTTGGTGGTTTATGATAAATTTTGGTGGTTTATGATAGATTTGATATTTTAATTGGTGAAATTGAGTAGAAAACCTGAAAAGTAATTTAATTGGTTCAGTTTTATGAAAGTTTTGAATTGGATTACAAGAACTGAGACTTCATATAAATGAAAAGTTATGGAAAAATTTTATTGTAACAATTGAAAAGTTGATGGACTAAATTCACTCAAAATAATTAGAGGACTAAAATTGCGTTTTTTTTTGTATCTACTGTTGTTTTTTTCATGGAAGTGATTAAGTGACTACTCTTTTTTCTCTTAAATATGCTGATATTGCAGGCTCTGATCTGCACAATTACTGTGGTGATAACAATAGTTATTATCTTCTTGTAACTTTCAACTATCTACTAACCTGAATGTAATCAATTAGCCGAGAAAAAGAAGAGAAAATGAAAATAGCTTCTAATATTAACTACTACAAGAGGAACGCAAGGTTATGCACATGGTAGATCAAGCTCTGGCACGTGAAGCTAGCTCAGTTCCATTTTATGGGGCTTAAAGTTCTACTGCCTCTCTTAACTTATTATAGGTGTGTGCATGTATACAAAGAATGATGAAACTAACTAGATGTATTTATTTATTGAAGGTTGTTGATTTTCATTAACTTATTTTGGTATGCATGTATGTATCTTTGGGATTGCTAATTAGTAGCTGCTAACTTGCTATCATGCATTTGTTGAAAAATTGGAAAAGAAAAAAAATCCATTGTTTTATGGGCTGTGCTATCCTTTTTTTTTTAATAGGAAATACTCATCCCCCATGTGTCCCATATTTCTGAACTCTTAAAAATGTTTTTTTTTAGTATTTGAAGATGCATATTTGAACACATTTAAAATCACACCAGCTATCGTAGTTTAGCAACAAATTTCATTAAATAATATTAGTTTGAATTGTGATACAATAAAAAGAAGATAATAAATTTGAGAGTAAAGTTAGAATTCAAGTCAACAACAAATACTTCTTCAAATTATTTACAAAATTGTGTGTAGTACTTATTCTTCAAGGTTATGGTGAAGTATTAATATAAGAAAGTAGTGTTTTGGTTGTGTTAGGAGGTTGTAAAGGATCGTAGTGCGAAAATTGTACAAGAATTCTTAACATAGTGGAAAATTCGTTGAAGGAATATATGGACTATACGTACTCTTAAGTTGATAAAGTCACAAGAAATACTTATTACTTGGTCATCTCATCCTCTAAAGTACTTATTACTTTGGTAAAGTCACAAGAAATAGTGAACAATTTAATCCAAGACTCTTTATTTCCATATTCTTTCATAAGCCAAACATCATGACCAGAAATCACCCACATGCAATCTTTCCAGACACCCAACGGGCAAGCACTTGCATTTATCTCTTCATAATCCGGCTCCAAAATCCGTGGATAAGACTCTTTCTCCAAATCAAAAGAAACAATAAAAGAAGGACCTTCACAATGGAAATCATTATAGGCCAACCAATTAATGGCTCCACCAACAAATTGTCCAGAATGCCTAACAAAAACACCACCAAAAGGAAATTCATGAATACTTTTCCAAAATTTAGTACCCGGAGTATGAACCTTGACTTCAGTTTTCTGTACATATTTATCTCAGCTATAACTTAAAACAACCACCATTTTGTAAACATGATTAACATGATCATAGCCAAAACCATATTCTACGTTACCGCTGAACACCCGAAAACAATAGTATTATAGATTTTAGGTTAAAACTTGGTTCTGTTGCACAAAAGCGAATAGTTTCTTTAAAATCAATTATTTTCTATAATAAAATATTAACTAAATTTAATTATAAATGAAGCGACTGCGCGAATGCTATTGGGTCTTCGAAAGCCACATTCCAGTCTCTCCTCTCTTAATTGATTTTTAAAATAAGTTTATTTCTTTCTTCTACACACCAAAATTATTATCCATAACTTTAGATTTACATAGTAGAAATAGATAATGTTATATTGATAATTGGTCGTTGTGGACTCGATATTTTTTATATTAATAATGATATTTTCATGCACTTGCAGACCTATAAAGTTTTTGGTGTCGTTACCGAGTATCAAATTAGTCAATATCGTGACTCTGTTGTTGCGCCATATAGACTAAGGCACACTTTTTATTCTTTTCTTTCCCTTTTCTCACTTGTATGCCAAATACCCGCACATCCAGGGATGAGTTAGAACAACTGATTGACAAAACCAAGCATTTTCTTCACGCTGATTAGAACAACTTCACGCCCAATACACTATCTCAATGACTGCGAATAATGTTGAACGTCTTCTTAAGGACTTTGTCGTCCTATCTAAGGAGGAGTCATATTCAACCATTGCTCCCTCGACGATTCATGTTAACAATTTTGAGCTAAACTCTCTCTGCTGCAAATCGTTCCGTGAAACCAGTTCTCTGATAGCCCTACGGTGGACCCTAATCTGCATCTTTCCGTGTTCATTCAGTATGCTAACATGTTGAAAAATAATGGTGTAGATCCCGAAGCTATTAGACTATGTCTTTTCCCCTTTCTCTCAGAGACAGAGCGAAAGCTTGGCTACAGTCTCTACCCTCTGATTCCATCACTACATAGAATGAGCTCAAGAAGGTGTTTTTAGCAAGATATTTCCTACCAAGTAAAATAACAGTGTTGAGAAACCAAATAACTTGTTTTAGACAAGCTGAAGGAGAATTTTTTTTTGAAGTCTGGAAAAGGTACAAAGACATTATAAGACTTCGCCCGAATCATAGTTTAGAGAAGTGGTGAATTATCCACGCTTTCTATAATGGCCTCCTCTATAACACGAGGATGACAGTTGATGATGCGGATGGTTAAAAGTATTTGAGATTAACTTGAAAAATCTCGGGAATAGCTTTGTGCAATTTTTTTTACAAGAATGTATGTGTAGAATGTGATTACAAATGTCTGGTTGCAGACAGTATAAAAGTAAACTTTAAAGACAATAAAACTTAAATTAAAGTAAAAGAAGTTTGAAATAAACAACATTAAATAAATGCAGTAATTGACAAAATAAAAGGATGTTTCAATTAAGAAAACATAAAAAGTATAAAGAAAAGAGAACACAGACTCCCATAATTTCTCACAAATTGTTTCACTTTTTGGCATGGGGCTCCAGTTCTATAAAGAAAGTATATGAAATTTGCAACCTTGATTACAACATATGAGCCTGATATATACGTATACTAACCTATAAATAATTGTTCCCGACAGTTTATACTTAAAGAATTGACAAGTCTTCGAATGCATTTAACTCATTTTCCAATGTATTGCCACATCTTTGAGGCTTTGAAACTGATGAAACCATTATCCCATGTTCTCTAACTGCACTTAACAACTACTAAGAGCATCTTTAATGGGAGCAACTAAACTTGATGAATTAAGTTATTTTATATGAGTCCAAATTGACATGAAGGATTTAAGCAATCCAAAATTGAATTAAGAAGTTTTTACTTCAATGGTGATTGTTTATAAGGAATTCAAACTTGATATTAAATGGTTAATAAAAATCTATTATTTATGGTAAATAATTAATAAAAATCTATTATTTATATTAAATAATGAGTTAGAGTACGTTGCTTATGTAGAGCAAATAAACTAGTTTTAGAGCATCCCATATGTCATGTCAGCTCTACTATAATGCAAATTCCTTATTACTAACGTAAGCTATACAAAATTTTGGTTTAACAACTATGCGTTAAAATTGCTCTAAGAGCATCTTTAGTGCAGGTTTTGTAGTATTAAATTATTTATTAGTAAAAGTAGTTATAAGCAATTTGTATTGGAATAAGAATGATATGACAATAAGTGAACTAACAATTAGTGGGAGTAAACTATAAAACCAACGCACACTATCCATTCTCAATGAGTCTTATTATTATTTTATTATTGTTTTATATTATTAAAATATCAATAAAGCTCCAACAACTATAAAATGTGGGGTCAAATTTTGGTTTTTTACAAGCAACCATCGTTAAAATAAAAACACTCAAATCAACTCTAAATATTTTAAATCCTACAAATTACTTTGGGCCCACAAAAAATATCTTAATTTACCCATTTAATTTACTCTCATTAAAGATGCTCTAATTGAGTGCTCGTCGAAGTTAGTTGCTAATAGTGTTAAGTCTCCTTTGTCTTTGGTTTCTTCAATTTCTTAAGTCTTTGAAGCTTGTCGAAAGACATGTTCTCGACATGGTGACGATATATATATATATATATATATATATATATATATATATATATATATATATATATATATATATATATATATATATATATATATATATATATATATATATATATATATATATATATATATATATATATATATATTCAGTTGAAATATATAACTGATATATATTATATTTCTAAAATTAAAAGATTTCAAAATTTAATACACAACTACATTCAACGTTCTAGGTTCGTTTCACTATATAAAATTAATATTTTATAGAATTGAAAATTATGTTTAATACCTTAATTATTTATTTCTTTTAATAATAATAATTTTAAATTCTTCTGTATCTAGAAATATCTACAAAATTTTAAACTGACAAAAGTAATAAAATAGAGAAACTACTTAAATCAAAATGTGATCTTTATTATTAAAAAAAAAACCTCAATATAAAAGTTAACATTAGATATTAATAAATAAAATCTTTTTTCATTAAAGAGCATTAGATGAATATCTTTTCGAATCGTTCTAGCTTAATCTTTTTTAATTGATCTATATATAGTAAATACACGAGGACTATTAAAGAAAAACAAAGCTATTTTCTAATTTTATATATATATATATATATATATATATATATATATATATATATATATATATATATATATATATATATATATATATATATATATATATATATATATATATATATATATATATATATATATATATATATATATATATATATATATATATTTACAAGAATTCAAAAAATTAATACACACAATTTTAAGATATATTATAATTATTATTTTTTTATTTCTCTAAAGTTAGTTTATTTTAGGAAAATTAGTTTTTACCAGCTTTCCAACTAATTAGGAAAGTTTGTTATTCTGATTGTTATTTCTTAGCTTTGTTTAAGGAGACTATAGAGGAGCACTTTAAGGATTAAGAAAAAGCTTATACGGTGAAAGTGAAGTTTTGAAATTATGTGTGGAAACCGTTAAATCTAAAAAAAAGGATTGCAATTTAATGCTTCATTCCTATCAATCATTCAATATAAATTAAAATTAAAATTTTAAATTTAAATAAAAAAGTAATTATACAAAAAATAATTGAAAGCACATTCGGCTGCAGCAAACCCTAACATTCAAATTAGGG